TCTTAGAGAGCCAAAGAAGCCGGCTCTTTTACAACCCTCGTTTTTAACTCACGTTCAAATTGTCTCACTCGATCAGTTCACTCCCCAGTCCAACACGCAATGTACCTTATGATATTTGTGTCGGTGCATTCAAAATAGCTCTCCTGAGGAAAAATCCTAAGGGGTTGCCGTATACACAGACACAGACTAGACAATTGGTTTTTTATCAGTTAGCAGGTACGAAAAAAAAAAATAGTGATCTCGTACAACCTGTTTTGCCTTTTGTATCATGTGGTCAAACACATGTGTGATTCGAATTAACCTTTTAGAACACAAAGATACCACATAATGGTCTCGCTTTCCCACTAATTTGAATCATTAGGCTGAATAGTCCGTCTTGTGGGGAACAGGGAGATTGCTTTTCTCGAGATTCTCAGCGTATCACTTAGAAATGAACAACAAACGCAGATAAAGTTTAAAAGCCTTTAATTTATTTTAAAGAATGACATCAAATATATAGAAACTGACAAAAGCTGGACATTCGTTTATGAAATAGGCCACTGTCGACATATCCATTGAAGTCATGTCCTGAGAACACGAGGAAGAAGAGTGATGACTTTCGTATCTTCTGGTTTTCTTGGCCTGGCTATGAATTTGGATAATAGCACGATATATCAAAGTGACGCCATTCATACTGAAGCCCCTACAATACGGTATTTAATCTTACCCTTGCTATTCAAAAATTTATTATTATCATTATAAAATGAAGCACTATTGTTGTGTAAATATGTATTATGTATTAAATGAATAAATGTAGTTGCATAAATTAAGTTCTTGCTACAACCATTGAAACACTCTTGCTGGTGCTGACTTCGTTCCTGGTGTATGATCCATTAAATAAAAGAATTATACAAATTATGCAGATCGAGGAGGGGTATCGGATGAACGCCGAGGCGGATAACTTCCTTTCCGTTGCTGACCCTGATTGTGTGTCTTCAGAGAATAGTGTGTTATATACTGCTATTTCGAGAGAGGTTGTCGGAAAAAGTGAACCTGACAATTCCGAAAGGCATTTTGAGTGGTTTTGAGTTCACTGTTCTTCAGAGAAATTTTAAAAAATTGGCACGAAAGGCCATGGAAATATGTTTGCGAGTGCTAAAGTAAAGAAATAAAAGTAGGTTCGACAGCTACAGTCATCAGGAACAGTGTATCGATCATATCCCATATTTATACCTTTCGGGATGGTCGCGTCCACATTCTCGAAATAGCTGTATACTGACTTCCAAACCAGAACTTAGCTGCGGAAGTTGTAAAAAAGGTTCCTGCGTTGCTTATTGTATTGGCACCAATGGTCGGAAATTGGATGCTATTTTTTCCGAACTGCCCTGATAATCCGAATCTTCACTTCTCATACCCAGACGAGAGTTTCCTAGTGATCTGCTAAAGAACACAAAAATCTAAACTATAATCTCTACAATTATTATTCAACACCAGCAAAGATCTCTACAATAATTAAGCTTTTTTTTCTTTCACTACCGCAATATTGTTATGGTGAACCAAAGTGCCTTTTATCACCTTACTCCTGATGTCACCTTTTTGAGTCAACAGTTCGTTTCTCCAACATGACATGACATGTTTATAGCGAGTGGCAATGTCGTAATCTAACCTAGCCAATTAAAACGTTCGTAACATTGAATTGTAGCCACGGAATTATGTGGTAGGTTATGTGGCGTCTGAGGAACTCTGAAGGCTATGATTAGTCCCACTATGCCGGAAAGTCCTTGCACCGACACGAAAATAATACCGGATTTTGCTTTTGTCAGTTCATATAGAAGAACGGTTATTTTCCAGCTATTTCTGTTAAGGAGCGAAACTGCGTTACGCCACCGCTGATCTTTAAAAGTGGATCGTCACATATCGCCGGGATAGATTTCTGCCACTTTTCGTCGCAGTGTGAACAGGTTTTCAAGTATTTTCAAGTAAAATGAGTAGGGGCGAGCATGGGCTGGGACCCACATCAGTCAGGAGAGAGGACTGGGATTTAGTTCACCAAACTGACCATTCGGCTAGCCCACCGCTCTAGTGCGATGTCGATGTGTGTGAACGACTTGTTCCAATTCTATACGGTTGCCGTTCATACTACCGGATACATTTTCATGTCCACGCGAAAATCTATTTCCAGTATAGTGTGGACAGACTAAAAAAATAAAAGAAGCGATCCGAACTACTAACAACTTAATAGTCATTTGCAGAGAATGAAACGATTTTAGTCCCTACAATTGATATATTAACAGTGCTATTCAGTATTTTCTCGATGTCTTTCAAATGAAATGAAATATTATTAGGTATCTTATTGTAATAACCCATTAAACAGTTTTGCTCGTCATCTCAGTCCTGTTCCTTGCTTGGCGAGGGAACTCCCATATGAAAATGACGGGGTTGCTCGTCTCTCTTAGACGTAGACATTGCAGTTTTTGGTCTCACTTTGACTGTGCAAGACAAAAAGCCNGTTCACCAAACTGACCATTCGGCTAGCCCACCGCTCTAGTGCGATGTCGATGTGTGTGAACGACTTGTTCCAATTCTATACGGTTGCCGTTCATACTACCGGATACATTTTCATGTCCACGCGAAAATCTATTTCCAGTATAGTGTGGACAGACTAAAAAAATAAAAGAAGCGATCCGAACTACTAACAACTTAATAGTCATTTGCAGAGAATGAAACGATTTTAGTCCCTACAATTGATATATTAACAGTGCTATTCAGTATTTTCTCGATGTCTTTCAAATGAAATGAAATATTATTAGGTATCTTATTGTAATAACCCATTAAACAGTTTTGCTCGTCATCTCAGTCCTGTTCCTTGCTTGGCGAGGGAACTCCCATATGAAAATGACGGGGTTGCTCGTCTCTCTTAGACGTAGACATTGCAGTTTTTGGTCTCACTTTGACTGTGCAAGACAAAAAGCCACTATTTTTAACCATAAATGTATCGCTTAACCCCCTGCAAACGGACGTAACTTTGTTGGCCAACAACTCGCAACATTGTTCAACATTGTTGGAAGCTGTTGCGTCCGTTTGCGCGTAGCTTTAGGATTGTGCGTAAAGAAATATCTATATAGAAAAAGACGTTGTCATAATGAGTTAGAGAGTGTTCTACTTTGTGATCGTAATCGAGGGAGACTGGTTATGAATACTGGCAAACAGTGAAGATGAAAACAACGGTGTTCAATTTATGAGTATAGTTTCTTGGCATTGCAGACGGTGCAACTGCAATTATTAAATCAAATCTACTTACCCGTGGAACATTCCCCTATGCTTTCATATTAGAGCTTCCCCCCGAGACCCTTGTAACAATCTAAAGAAAAAAAGGGTGCTTTGACAAAAATTTAACCATAGACCATAGAGACCCTACAGAAATTACAGCTTCGTATCAAGAGTATTAGCTTTACTGGTGTTAGTGGCAGATGCCTCACGGTAACATGGCTGGTTCTGATCCAGTAGTCTGAAATAATAGTAAGGGGTATCTTGTGTCATCATCTCTTCCAGTATCGGTACTAGTTGAACGAATGAGGGTCGTTCATTTGGATCCTCCTTCCAGCAGTCCATCATCAATTTGTATCTGTTGAAACAGGAAGCCATAGTTTAAAATACCACTACACAAAGATATGTCTCCGTTTACTTTGAATATTGAAGACACTTATGTTTTATAGGCTCTTTTTAGAATGGGCAACGTAAAGGAAAGAGGCACGCTGCAGATTCCACTCCTTGGAAAAGGCTGACAATTTTAGAAAAAAAGAACTGTTTCAAGGACTATGAAAGTATTTCTTCATCGTACCCTCTTTTCGTACGTCTTTTATTATTTCTATTCTGACTTACATTTCATCGCTGCACGTGTTGGGTTTCTCCATCCGATATCCAGATTTAAGTAAACTGCATAGCCTCATAGGGCTTATCCCAGGGTATGGAGTACCCCCTAAAATAACAGAATAAAGATCAGTGCTGTCTTATCAAAGATTATCAGGCTTTTCTAATTTTTCATTTTAAAATCGCTGGTGATCCCTGCAATCTGATTGGCTATCAGCAGTGTGATTTATTTACGAATCACACAATCACATCTGTTCTAAACCACGTTGCACCGTCCCACCTTGCTTTATATCGCATAATTTCTGTTTCGAATACGAAATGAGATGTAAAAGCCCTTTTGTTTCCGCTTTTCAACAGGCTATTTGATATGTCCACAGGCAAGTCCTTCCTTATGGTTCTCGATCTAAGGTACGCCTCTTGACCGCTACGTAAGAGCTGCCATCCTTCACTCTATCCAGCATTCCCGCTCGAGGTCTTCTAGGTGGTCTCTTTCCTGGTATTCTTCCCTAAATAACTAATGGGAACATGATCACCATGTCGTAGGGTTTGACCAAGCCAGACTCTCTGTCTTCTGTTGATAACAGACACGCCTCAATACTTCTTCGTTACAGACTTTGTCAGACCAAGTTATGTTAAAAAACCTTTCTCCAAAGCCACATCCCACAGCTCTCAGCCTTCGCACGAATGTTTGCCGATGACACCAACCTTACGTTATCTGCTAAGACGTTAACAGAGCTTAAGCTAGCTCTAACCCCTGAATTAAATAACCTTAGCTGTTGGCTGAAAGCTAACAGGCTCAGTCTAAATGTTGCTAAAACAGAGCTAATGATTATTGGATCAAGACAAAGACTATCTGCCCAATGTGACGATATAGAAATCAGAATTGATGACCAAATTATCAAGAGAGCCGATCATACCAAATCCTTGGGTCTTACCATAGATGCTCAACTCTCTTGGGGTAAACACGTTGAAGAGATTTGCAAGAAAGTCTCTTCAGCTATAGGCGCCCTAAAACGTGTGCGGCCCTTTATATCCAAAGATACTGCAATTCAAATTTATAACGCTTTAATTATGCCTCATTTTGATTACTGCAGCCCCGTCTGGGACTGTTTGAGTGGTTACTTGAGTGATAAGCTCCAAAAATTACAGAATCGTGCAGCCAGAGTTATTACTAAATCACCCTTTGATGCGAGCTCAAACCACCTTCTCTCCACCCTCAGCTGGGAGAGGCTATCTCTTCGACGAAAGAAACAAAAAGCCTTAATGATGTATAAAACCATGCATGACCTTGCTCCAAAATATCTACAAAGTCTTTTCTCTCAGCGTCACTCTGCTTACAACTTAAGAAACTCTGAGGGAAGGCTGACCCTGTCCAAACCAAACACCAATTATTTGAAACGAAGCTTCTCTTACAGCGGGGCCATGTTATGGAATAACTTGCCCAAAAACTTAAAAAACGCTACATCCGTTGAGCATTTTAAGCGAAATATCAAGAAGGTAGCTGATATATCGGATTCCCACACGGCAGTCATGTAAAGCAGTTGTAATTAGTTTTAGTTTTTAACTTAAGCTTAACTGATGATTTCCCGTGTTTAAATAAAGATTTACATACATACATACATACATACGTCCTCTTTCTTTAAGGTCTATCATTCGTCTCCATTCAGAAAAGTACCCCAGATGACAGTCTTTATAATTCTCTTCTTCAGGCAAAGGCTAGCGCGCTGAAGGCTTTTGTCAGCAGTTCTTTTTTAGTAAAAAAAAAAAGGCTATTCTCGATCTAATTTATTTTTCACAGGATCCATCCTGTGTTATAAGGCTCGCAAAGTAGTTAAAGTGCGACGATTGTTGACTTAATTGTTTACCCTCAAGAAAGATCGTGAATTCCTCACCAGGCCTCTTACTGATTTAACATTGATCTTCATATCATATTCACCCGCGTTTTCCTGCATTTTACCCATCATAAGTTGCAGACCTTTAACTGAACTAGCTAAGGTTGCTTGATCATCCGTAAAGTGCACTGTCTTAATGAGATGACCTCCCACTCGAATACCTTCATTCACACTACTTAATTCACTCCCTCGTGAAATCAGACACGAGACATGTTTTAACACTTTTAAAACTAAGGTTAAGACTTTTTTGTTTCGTATGGCTTTCTGTTAATTTTATCTAATTTAGTTGCTCATTATCTTATTTTTAATATGATGTAATTTAGTTTTTTATGATGTATTTTTAGTTTTTATATGATGTATATAGTTTTCTTTTGCTGTTGTTTATAGTTTTTAGGTATCTTAGATGTGAGGCGCATTTGATCATATTCGAATGTTAATTTGCGCGCTATAAGCAATAAATATTAATTAATTATTATCACTTAAAGCAACTCTTAGCATGGCTTCAGAATATATGTTAACGAGTATGGGTGATAACGAGCTAACTTGTCTGGTGCCACGGCCAATCACTGCTGATACGGATTGAATTCTGCGATTTCAAAATGGCTGTAATAAAGTGATAATTTCACTTTGTGTCGTGCAATTTTAGTCTGAAATCATACTTCTGATCTCAAATCGAACTCGCGCGCGAAATCACGCATATGATTTCAGACCAAATTGCTCTCCACTCAGTTCAATGTCCATCGTGTATTATCAATTTACCAACCTCCGGGAGGGATTGAAATAACGTAATGTACAAGTTTAGCATTACTGAGTATTCATTTTGCCAAGTGACACGTGATATCAGGTCAAGTTGTGGTTAAGGGTATGACTTATAGGCTGGATTATTATGAGCCTGCGCTCCTCCCCGGTAAAGACGGCTGGGAGAGCGGCGGAAGTTAACCTATTATTTTTTTCTAGTTGTTTAGCAATCACGACATTATGCAACGATGGCTTCTTTTATAAAACGGTTCGATTCTCCAGTGACTGCTATCCTAAAACTGAACAGTCAGCTTTTCCCAAACTACGGTCATGGGGGATTCCTCTCAATTCCCTCGGGTATGGGAAAATGACTAGAGTATTATTCTACCAGCATCAGTATACAAAGATTTATAAAACTAGCTTACCCATGGTGGCTAGTTCCCACAAAACAACTCCAAAAGACCATCTGCAATAAAAGGAAGCAGATAAAGAAATAGCAAAAAATAAATTCATAGAAATATCAGTGTTGTTTATCTCGCCCCATGGATGGTAATCCAAGAAATTTTTGTTTGGAATCCAGAATCCTGCTAACTATGAAATTCTGGAATCTAGGCCTTTTGAAATCTGGAATACACTGAGTTGGAATCCGGAATCTAGTATCTGGAATGCGGGATGTGGAGCGTGGAATCTAGGACCAAAGATAGTCTCAGATTAACTTCATCGGCTCAAGGTTTCTGTTTATATATCTTATTTTCAAGTTTCACGCCTGGAACAGGCTAATGTTTTCCAAACACTTGAGTATTTCTTTAGATATAGTGATGACCGCTACTGTAGACAGTGTCATGATCAAAATTGTGCTCTTTTTTTTTCCAGACAGTTCTAAACAGTACATTGCAAGGTCTATGTCATCCAAAATCTCAACTTCACACTGCATTACAGGAAGCCTAAGCTTGGCCTAACAGTGACCTCGTTAACATAAACTTACACGTCAGTCTTGAAAGTGAAAATGCCGCTTTCCAACGCTTCAGGTGCCATCCATTTCATTGGTAGCTTGTGTACGCTCGTAACTTCGTATATCTCACTCTCATTTACGTGGCGTAACAAACCAAAATCAGCAATCTTCACCGCTCTGTCCTCACCAAGTAGGATATTACGGGCTGCCAGGTCACGATGAATGAATCCTTTGCTGGCCAAGTATTCCTGGTACAGAAATGACGAAATTATTTCTCAAACAATTTTTAGTTACCAGATACCTTAAGATGAACAAAAAATTTCCAATATGAAATTAAAATGGAAGCTCGATTTTACGATATGGCAGGAGGGTAGCAGTTTAATCGGGATATCGTTGTAAACGAACTCCCGACTGGTTTAACTATCTGGCGGAAAAGCAACCAAGTACAATGAAACGTCTGTTCCAGGCTCAAAGATAGCCGCCACCGCCCCTTTTTCTTAGATTACATACGCTTCAATTTATATTTTTGCCGGTGCCTTACGCTTTTTTGCCTTATGTTTGCCATTGCCACCCCTACTATTGAGAGCCTGGAACAGGCTACTGCAAGCTCTGCCTGGCAAACGGTCTGGAGAGCTGGGGGAAGTGATCGTCGGTCTATTCATGAAGAATGGAGGGAGGATTTCCGTCACAGCTGTTGGAAAACAAGAAACAAATTAAGGAATTGGCCAAGAAATCCCCGGGACGTATACTTTTCAGCACAAAAAGCAGTCAAAGTTGAACAAGCTAAGTGAATTACAGTCGACTCCAGATAACTCGAACCCTCGCTAACTTGAAACTTGTGCTAACTCGAACCAGAATCGATTTTCCCTGGATTTCCTTTACTGTAATTCACCGTCAGTAACTCGAACCCTCGATAACTCGAAACTCCCGCACTCGAAGTAATTTTTGTTTCTCTTCAGATCACTTTCATACAATTTTACCCTTGATAACTCGAAGGGATGAATATTGGCTGAAAAATATGGTTTTCAGTTAAAGTTTCAACCGCGGACGAAAGCCCGTTGACACCTGTTAACGCTTAATTAAATGTTTTTTTTTCAGGGAGACTTAAGGTGAGTGGAATAAAGCCCTCCTTAGACTGCCACGCCCGAAAAACAAAAAAAAAAACTATTGGTTCTTACTATACTGCTGATTTCTATTTCGAAGTCACCCGAAAACGGCATACCTCAGTGAACATTATTCATTTAGAAATTAGAATTTTTGGTTAAAAAAGGTTCATTCGTACCAATGAATAAACAGCAATTATTGGATGAGGCAGAGTTGTGCGGATCACCGGGAGGGTGTTATTTGCTAAAACCAAAAGCCAAATATAAAGCTGAGCCACCAGATATATCAATTGAGCTTACAATAGTTAGCAAATACCATCATGGTGGCCGTTTAAAAAAAGCAATCTCTTAATTTCAGCTATCAGTTCCACTTGCAGACCGTTTATTGTGCTTTCCAAGATTCCGATTAGGGGAGTATTTATCTAGAAAGTCCTTGCTGCTCAGTCTCCCAGTTCCGAAAACAAATTTAACCATTGTTTTTTCTTTCCTTTATTTCCCTTCTTTTCTCAGGGGCGTAGCCAGCCCATAGCCCTGTAGGCCTGGGCCTTCAAATTTTTGAATTGATCACTCTACCGCTTGTAATAAATTATGCGTTGTTGGAGTCAGCTGAAAAAACACAAGAGCACAAACTGTTGGTGAGGTCAGTGCGTACTGGTCATGCGTACAATTTTCAGGATATGTGGAAATGAAAGTCAGCCAGGCTTAAACTAGCCAAAAAGCTGGCTACGTCCCTGAATGTCAAGCTTGCGCGATTCAAATTAAATAAATGATAGCTTAGCCTTATTCGGTCATATGGCCGTATTCATTAGACACCTTTTAAAAAATACGAACAGACCTGATTTTTCAATAGGTACCTTCACGACGGCTCCATGTGATTTTCAGGCTTCTCGGGCTATAAAAAAACTGGTTTTTGACCTTTTTTTAAGATCAAATGGCTCAATTTTAATTTTTTTTCACGAACAATTTAGCAAGATAGTAGTTAGCCCTATAATGGTCTGCTATAATCAACGCAGCAATTTGAATGCTTGAAAAATCTGCCTTCTCATGACCGCATAGCATAATACTTTCAGACACAGAAAAACTAGTAGTAAAGTATTTTAAATACGGGGAAGAGGCAGATTTTTGGGATTTGCAAACGATGACTAACTTGCTCAAGACATTCTTCAGTAGAAAAAGTTCTTACCATCCCTTTAGCAATCTGCCACGCATAACATAGAACTTCTTTCCTAGAAATGTCTTCTTCATCATCTTCCTTGCCCTCACAGCTGACTTCTTCTTTCTCGATGGTGATCTTTTCTTCGACGTTTCTCAACGGCTCAGCAAGAGTGAGCTCTTTTTTTTTGGAGAAATGGGCAATATTGATCGAAGGTAACACCATCACCGACGTAACCAGCCCCTTTTGTCCTTCATTATGTTGAAATGACGTGTTGACATCGTCACTTTCTTCTTCCTCCTTGTCATCTTCGTAACCCAGGTTTAAGCAAGGAGGTTCCATCTCAGATTGAGGCGCATCGTTGATTGGAACTTCTCTTTCATCGTCGTCCACGTCGATTTTAATTTCCTTCGTCTCGCGGGAATGATAACCACCTTCTTTTCCACTTTCTTCGTTATCTCTTTCCCTGTTCTCCTCTTTCAGGTTTTCATCCAGGACATCTTTTGTTTGCAGGTTCCTGGACACTAATTTCGGCCTCTCAGGAACAGGAGGCTTAAGCCTTTCAACGACATCACTTTGACGACTGTTTTTCATTGTAAGCTGCAAAAAATATTGAAATGAATTCCGTCTGAAACGGTTTTGTCAACAGAAACAAATTCAACACCATCAGTTGGTTAGCCGAAATATTTTTACCCTTTCCAAAGGAATCTCTAAGAATTGAAAGATTACTAAACAGACGTTCAAAAACTCATTAATAATTCATAAGCCCAATGACCTATCAAATGGTCTATAATACATCAATGCCAGTGACATTATATCTGATAAGACCTCCCGTTATTAGTATGTAGTGTTCTATCGGATATAATGCCACTGGACTATACCTGCACAGTAACTGACACAACACATGGTGGGTGAATATTTAATGTTCTTTCAAAATAAGGGGTCATTTAGCAGCTGCTCGATCGGAGGAAAGGTCACTAGCGGTACCTAACCCTAACCCCAGACAATACTGAAACAATTGAAAGAATCACATGTCATAATTTTCTGCAACCAATCAGGGGAGACCTTACGAGCAGCTCCTACACAACTGAAAATACGACACGCAGTAAATTTACTATTGCGCAAAATTAAACTTTGTTCTTTCACAAGTTTAATCAGCCGAAAGTTCAGTGACTTAGCGGTAATATTGGCTATAGCAGTGTCCAAGCGTTCTACTCAAGATTTCCCAGTCGGAATAACAAGGCTAGAGTATTGGATTTTTGTTTACCTATTCGGCCATTCCAGAAAAAGTTTTTCAAAGACTACTATTTCACTGAACTTGTGGACTTTGGGGATGGTAAAAGCTAATTGAAGGAGAGAAGGAGCCTTAAAAATCAAAAGGCTTTTCCAGACGGAGAAGACGCCATCGCCTTTTCGATTAGTGTCATTCGTAGACTGGCAATTTCCAAACACGTGTTAGATTTGATTTTCTTGCATAATAATTTCATACGTAATGTTTTTTTCGTATTCTAATTTTTGAAGGTGTACAAATTATTAATAAACTCGCAGCTCATGTTTTATCGGGTCTAAAATCGCTCAGCTCGAATCAAGGACGGTTTATTAAACGGCGGAGCTCAGCTATTGGTGAATACATGGGCAAATGAAAAAAAAATGAGTAAATTACTAGAATGAAAAGCGTTCCTTGAAGTAAACTATTCTTGTCTTGTTGCCATGTTCAAACAATAGGGTAGCTCCACTATAAGTAATCCCGTGATTCATTCTGACTGGAAAAGGGTAACGCCCACCGGGGGGGGGGGGATACTCCCAAAACTTTCGGATACTTGGGACAAGCAAAACTAATATCCTATTTAAGACCCATTCATGGAAAGAGGCCCAGTTCAAGGAAAAACAAAAACTAAAAATAAATCGAAACACAAAAAAAGTTCCTTAAATCGCGGTCTTAATAAGCTCTAGGGTAAAGTTCAGTTTTAACAGATGATTTTTTTGGGGGCTGGGCATTTACGCACTTGAATTTTACCTGATAGAATAACGGTACCCTATCTAAGGATCAACACAGAAGGATGGAGACCAGCATGCTATTGGGCGGTAGGGCAGTTTCCCTGGGGGAAATGTTCGAAAAGTCAAGTTTTGTCTCTTTTCTGACCACCTACCCCTCCGCAAAGATAGCATTTTAATGTCAAAACACTTACTTCTCACTTAGGGAAAATTGTTGGCTTAGGGGAGGGATAGGTGGACAGTTTCCCAGAAACCTAAACTAATCCTATTTTCTTACCGGGACAGGCTTGACTTAATTAACTCCGTTTTTAACACAAATTTTTGGGTATTTTTTTTTTAGTTCTATAAATAGTACTTAGGCGCAGAGCTACTGCAAATGGAGAGCAGGGATTTCTTTAAACAAAAGCCAAAAAGAGGGGGCAGCAAATTTTTATTGATACAGCTGATAAAGTAATGATACCTGTTGCCTTTTGTTTCTGAGCCACTGAAGAAGATCTCCGTTTGGAACATATTCCATAATTAACATAATGGGATGTGATTGGATCCAGTAGCCGAGCATGCTCACAATATTACGGTGTGTTCCGACTTCCTTCATCAGCTCAATTTCTCGAAGTAACTGCTGTTTGTCCTGCTCCATGGCATTTTCTGAAAAAAAAAAAAAGAAAAAAAAAAAGAGACATTTTATAAAAATCCAGTAACTGTGACCTACGTAAATGCTACGGAAACTTGTCTCTTTAATTCTAGCCGCCACGTTTTGTGTTCTTTAACTGCTTCCCTATTCTCTACCCACGGGCAGTTCATCTCCAGTAATATGACTTTCCTTGAGTGTACATTTGTAATCCTAACGTATCTATACAATTGGATCATTTTCATTGACTCTGCATAGACAGGGATATCCCAGTAGTTGGGTTTCATGAAGGGATTACGGCGCACCGTCATCGTCATCGTCATCATCATCACCATCATCCTTATCATCATCAAGCTCTAAGGTGCTTTACAATAAATGTTTTAAACTTAAACGACTAGAAAGCAGTAACTCGTTACATTACAAAAACAATTGTTAAAAAAAAACGCGAAATAAAAATAACGCCTAGAAGTTTTTAAAGCTTTAAGATTGCTCTTAGAAGAACGAATATTCAAACTCCATTTTACACTCTATGTGCTCTGGAGAATATCATTCCAAAGTTTAGGGTACAAAACAAAAAAGCATGATCGCTCGATTAAATTTTAACCTTGATCTGGCTGTCATTAACAGTGCAAGTTCATGTTCATGATCGTAAACTCCTAACCGGTTTGCAAGTTTGAAACAAATGATGATTTTAGGTCGGAGTTAAGGTGTTTCGATACAGCTTTTCGGTGACCATACCGATATTTTTCATTCGCCTTAACAGTGATTTTATCCTTGTCCGATCGCTATGAAATTTTCGCCACTGATTTTAACTCTAGATTGAAGTTTGTCCAAATGCAGTTTTAAGTCAAATCTATATCATTATGGCCACAATCAACAAGAAACTTTGAAATCGATAAAAACCAAATTTTGCGCGATCTCGACCTGCTAGTGAAAATCCGTTCCCAGGAACTTAAAGTGTGGTGCTTAGCAAATAACCTCCATCAAAACAAAAGAATTCTGTATGTTTGATTTGAAATAAAACTTAAATGTAACTCAAACCTTATATTTTCAGTAGCCGTGATAAATTGTTAAATATAAAAGTTCTAAATAACTCAAATTGATTTTAAGTAGCGTCAGAATGATGCTTAATATCATATTTCGCTGCTCGGAAATTTTGGTGTATTTTCTTTCATGCGATTCTGCAAACTATTAAACTGTTACCTCACCACCTATCTAAGTGCAACTTTTTCTAAATTTTGATTTTTAGCGCTTTTCTGTATATCTCTAGAACGGCTCGAGTTACAACATTCGCTGTTTTGACGTTATGCTAATTTTTTCTAAATTAATGCGGACCATACATACTTCAATGACTAGTACATTTCAGTTTGAATTTTATTGCATCTTTTGAATGTAAAACATTAACAATATTCGCACTCGAATGTACTATTCATGGAGGTATGTTTGGTCCGCATTAATTCGGAAAAATTAGTATAAAAACAGTTTTAACGCGGCTTTTTGGCCGGTTCGTAGGCTAGGCTTGTCTTGAAATTTCAAGGTGTTGCACTATTCATCTCAATGAAAGTTTCAGACATTATTATGTACATCATGAAGATTATGTGATGAGGTTTAAAAAGAATTCTGTTGAGCCGTTCTAGAGATAGAAAAAAATGGGAGGTCATTAACATACATAGGAGAAAACAAAAGGACCTAAAATGGACCCCTGAGGTACACCACCCTGTGAATGATTGGGGTATTGAGATGCTGTTTTCCACGATATAATATTTGCTGCCTATAGGATTAAATAATTCAAACCTGTTAAGAGTATAACTTCAGTAAATCTTTTTTCCATATTCTGAATTCACGCACCTGGTAGAACTTTTGTAGCAACAATACGTCCCTCATGCGAATCCAAACTGTGATCCTTGGGTTTCGAGGACGTCATATTTTCAGGTAGCCCCCTCATCACGCCCTTATAAACTATTCCAAAAGCACCTCGTCCCAGTTCCTCCATGGTAGTAACCCGTTCGGGTGGGACTTCCAGCAACATAAGCTCAGTTATGTCGGACTCACTGGATCAAAGTGCAAATTGAATGTAAATGAAATTTCTCGTCATTAATCATGGGTTTGTGGTAGTGCTTAAATCAGGGACGGCTTCCTAGTTGATACAATTTATTCAAAAGATACACTGCCTTGGCCTGTAAGAAAGGTCACTTGTGGCTTGGGAGTGAGTAAGACACGAGATAGACATGTTCAGACACTTACATAAAAACAATATCGCCTATTCCGTATGTATATTTTTATCATGGTACAATTCAGCAACAAAGCATAATATTCTAAATTTGAGTGGTAATAACAGTTGAATGAAATACCGTTTATTCCTCTTTGCTCTCTTACGGTAGACAATTATCCCCACCACCACAGCTGCAGAGAGAGCTACGGAAACTCCCAATGTTATCCAGGCAATCTTTGCAGTATCATTTTTAGGGATAGGGGAGCCTCCTGTAGGATCACTTTTACTGGTAGGAGCCTCGCTGGTCACTGAGGGATACAAGCAATCGTAAATGTTAAGAACTGTAATAGTTGTACACATGATTAAAAAAGTAGCTTTAATGCTTACGTAGCACCCGGGGCAGCTTATTTAAGAGATGGGAGCTCTTCTTTGAAGGGATAGCTTCCTTCTTCAGAATTTGAAAGCCTGGAATTTGACATGGTATATGGCGATGAACCCTTGGCTTTTGAAAAATGGTTAATAAGGAAGGAAGAAAAAGTTGAAGAAAATAATAAGCTAGAGCGAGAAATACGGGAAAGACTTGACAGGTCAGTTCAAGTGGATTCTTGGTGAGTGCCGGCAAATCATTTCGCTCAAGTCGATTAAGGCCTGGGTCATTACAGAGTTTTCAGAATTTTTAAAGGCGGGTGGTATAACGTACAGTATTTTCAAGATATCCCATGACTGACAATTTAAGGCCAATTATAACCAAGATATCTTCAAATTTCATTTAAAAAATTGTTTATAAGTGCATCACGTGACCAGCCACGTCCTGTTTTATCGAGAAATCCTTTAAGTCGAAATAACCACCAGAAAGAGAGTGGACCGTTTTCCTTCAGTAGGTCCAAAAAGTGACTACTACTAGTCTTCATGTAAAAACAATCGGAATGAGGCGAGGTCAATAAACGTCTTTCTCCTGTCGATAATTTTAATTGGAGGAGGACTGGGACTAGTCAGTGAGCCCAATTGCACCTGCTAATTGTAATGCTTCGAACCATTCCGAGCTGATTTCGTAGACACTTTGTAGGGACAATGTTTTGATACATAGAAACTGGAGCTACTTGTTTTGCTTACAATTTTCTCACAATGGAGGGCGTTGTCGATTACGTGACCAAATGATATTTTTTTCATATTTTTCAAGTTTAGTTTACCTCACCATAATTGTCCCTTGTGGATGTCTTTAACCATAGGTTTTGGAAACTGTACATAAAAATCATAAATGACTTAGACTCAGGCTTTAACCTACTTGAGCGTACGATCGTGTGAGGAAGTAAGCTCATGTAAATAATTCACTAGTTGCTTGTTTGGCGGCATGATTAATTACTATGATGTGTGAGGAGAGTTGTTAGCATTCGCTATAAAGAAGCGTTATTTTTGGATGATTCTAGTTACCCTGAATGTAACGGACGTATATTCAGTAAGGAGCGGTGGGATTAGGGCACCTGTTTAGGATTTGTTTGATTAACCTTGTTCTGGGATACAAATATATACGAATCGCGTATAATCTTAATTTTTTTTTATTGTTTTCATCATTCCTATTATATTTCGGAGGGCATAAATCAGAATAATTACAATAACAAGAGTAATGGCAGACGTTTTCGGTTAAGCGAAAAGGCAACGAGAAGGGCAAAAATTAAAGGCATTTGGTTTGTCAGCGGTATTAGCAGAACAACAACTTTGCACTTGCAAACACGCTTTTTTACACAGTTCTCTGGAATGTTACTAAAACAGTGAACGACCACGGGGAACGAGAAAATGAAAAATGGCAACAAAACCTAACTTCAACCCTAGCCCACTCAGCGAATTCATTTCTAATTCTCTGTTTGTTCCCCACTTTTCATTTTTTCCGTTCCCCTTGCTCTCGTTCTCTACTCCCCATTCCCCCGTTTTAGTAACGTTCCAGTTCTTCGCCGTCATTATACGACCACGGCGTGAGACTGCCAAATTTTACGTTTATGGAGGATTTGAACACATGACAGCGATTTTCTTTTCTAAAGTATGAATATCGGCCAACATTTCGCAACTTAAACGGGATGGAGCCGAAGTAAGAGCGATAAAGTTTGAAAAAGCGTGAGTTTGGTTTTTAAAGTGATGTTTTCGCCGCTCTCGCCGTCGTAACTGCTGAAGCTCCCGGGGCTCTCCTCATGAAAAAGTTTACAGGAGCAGATGAAAGACTTATTTCCTTACACGAGGAAATTAAATCGAAGAATTCATTTCTCAGTCACCATATCCCGCACTTTCCAAATTAAGTTGTTTTTCAAGGAAAAAGACAAATGATAATCATGTGACAATTTTCGTCTGTCAAATCTTTCTTAGAATTTCTTCTACAAAGGAAAAAAACAAATAAACAAACAAACAAAACGAGACAAAACGTAACAAAATAAACCAAAAACAATAATTTATCTCCTGCCAACAATGTGGATTATTGCATTGACGTCATCTCTGTAACATCTTTAAAAACAGAACGATCGTTTTGAAAAGTTTATTACAGAGTAATCCAGAATGTTTTCCTGTTTTAGGATAAGTTCTATGAAATACACCATTAGTACTTAGGCCTGAGAGGTCGGGAGGAGGAAGTGGGGGAGGGAAGCTGCTGCCCTAAGCTGGGTGCCAATCAAGCATTTACTGTATACAGACTTGTTCGAGAGTTCAAGTCAAGATTGTGTCACATCAGTTTTGTTCTTCTCGCTTAGTTTTGCAAGCTGGGCAAGTAGGCGGGGGGTGGGTAATTAGGGGTGGGGGGGGGGGGTTGAATAGTATTCCACCTCCTCTAAACTTGACACATGTGATGAGGGCTCAAAAAAAAAGATTTCTTGCATTATTGTTGGCTAGTGATCAATGGGTGTTTTGTTTTCTTGAGGTTTGTGTTCTCGGTGTGAGGTTGGGAAGGGGCAGAGGGGGGGGGGGCGGGGGAAATGAGGAGTGGTGGGGGGGGTTGAACAAAGCACCCGGGTTGACTTTGATCGTTCATAACCTCTTTCTCAATGATGAAAAAAAGGTTTTAAAAAGCTTTTTTTTACCTCTTTCAGTGAAAATGGTTTCGATAAAAGAAGTTGTTACATTTTTGCTGGTTTCATCGCCAATTTGCCAACTTAGACCCAAAATTCGAGATGGCCATGAAAAATGTAAACTTAAAACGTCATGACAGGCTATTTGAAGGAGAACGGTCGCTAAAAGAATTAAACTTATAGATTACCCCCCCATAAGCGGAGGCTTATCTGTTCATTTTTATTGTTGTTCTTGAAACGTCTAAAGACTCTCATGTGGTAAATTCCGTCGTGATTTGTTTTACACGTGGCTTCTGAGGGAGCAGAAGCGAGTGCCCGCTTCTCTAGAAGTGAGTTTATGGGCGTTCGCAGAGGTTTCAGTGATTATGGTTTAGTGTAAAGGCAATGTCGCACCTGCAGAGTGGGTTTTAAATTTCCAAGAAACTGACCAGTCACTTTGAACTTCTCCAAACCAGGAAGACACTACGATTTCATACCCCCTGTCGCATTCCAGAGGTAAAAGATGAAAGGTGGTTGCAGGAACCTTAAACTCGCTCCATTCAGCTTCATCGCCTAGTGGTTTTATCTCCCTTAACCGTACAGTGGTCTTCGTTATGGTGCATATTCCTTTTATACTCCACGTTACATTGACTTTGCAACCATGTATTTCCGACCCTTTGTTGTCTATCACGGGTGTAATCGGTTTGCCTTTAATTAATGAGAATAATACTGCTATTATTTAGTGATTTCCACTGATGTATTTGCAGTGATAGATGAATGTAGAAAGGTACACCACTAAACCTACAAAACTATTTAACAACTTCTGAAACTCAAACAATTAACAATCAGCACACCGACGCCATCTTAAGTAACCGAGCTAATTATGCGCATGCGTTGAGTCCTTTAAAAAGAGTTCTTGGTTAATTACTGCGGGACCGAGGTCCCATGAATGTGACAATAAGTGGACAAAAAATTGATTTTGTTACTTAAATTTGCCTGTAATTAACTTTTGGACCTTGAGAGTGGGCCCTTATTCGAGGCTAGGCGCTTAATAAATTTTTACCATTTTNCCGACGCCATCTTAAGTAACCGAGCTAATTATGCGCATGCGTTGAGTCCTTTAAAAAGAGTTCTTGGTTAATTACTGCGGGACCGAGGTCCCATGAATGTGACAATAAGTGGACAAAAAATTGATTTTGTTACTTAAATTTGCCTGTAATTAACTTTTGGACCTTGAGAGTGGGCCCTTATTCGAGGCTAGGCGCTTAATAAATTTTTACCATTTTCAGCAAGTGGAGAATGTTTATTTTGCAACAAAATAATAAATGGCAGTAACAAAACGCGAAGATTTAACAAAGCAAGGTTTCTGTAAAATACTCTGAAGAAAACTCCGTCTTCGGGGAAGACTCTTATTAGTACTTATCCAATTTCAATCTCATTGTCACTCAAGTCAGAAAGTGAATTCTCTGGTGCTGCCTCCTCGATGTCCCGACATCATAATGTCGGCAAATGGCCAAATAAAATAGTGTCCCCAATTAGTACTTTCGTGCTAAATGCATTAACACTCCAATAATTAATATACAAGTGCATTTTTTTAGATAATACTCTTACCTTTGATTAAGTCACCAATCTGCTTCACGGATAAAGCTTTCCCAGTCACATAAAAATCCATGACTGCTCCAACAAACACCCCATTTGCCATTGGCATCTGGACGAAATCTGGATCATTCCCTATGATGTACTCTGACTGATAACGGGCTAACGATGAGAAGAAATACTCATTCCATTCGTCCATCAATGCCTTCTCCGTACCATTAACGAACACCTTGATCTTGTTCAGCTGACAGGTTACTGCTACGTGATTCCAGTAATTGATTTGTAAGTGGAAACTGTTGTGTATCGATAAAATGAGTCGGGAATTCTTGACCGTAACATAAAATAGTTTTCCACCCTTTGACCAAAGTGCCAGTATAGGCCCGTCAACACCATTATACTTTACCCAAAAAGCAATTGTAAAGTCACAGGTTGTTATGTTAATGTTAGAGACAGTAGCATAGGAACCATTCTGACTGAAAGTAGCCGCTTTGCTTCCGGGACACCAGCCTTTAGTATAGTTAACGGTACCAAAATACCTGTAAGATAACAAAAACCAATGAATAGAATCTAGCTGTGAATAAAAGAATTACCTGTCATAGGAGTTCAAGCCAACATTTTACCCTCGAATCCTAAGTTATGAGACAAAAATTAACCAGTCAACGCTATGAGTGTAATGCCACCTGCAGCAGTCAGATATGCAAACGCATAAGTTTAATTTGAGGCGATGCTGAAACCTGGATGTCATCATGAAAGAGAGAATGGTCAGTCTGGAAATTTATTTAAGAGTTGGAGAGAGCTAAGAAGGGAAGTCGTTGTCGTATAAATTCTTTTGAAATCAGAAAGTAGGGGTGAGGCATAAAAAGCCAAACCTCAGCCACCCACCCTACTCCCCCCGCCTCGTCCCCCAACATTGAACAAACTAGATACATATAATCCCACTAACCTCACATCTGGATCACTGCCATCTAGAAACCAGCGGCGGTATACTGGTTTTCCTAACAAAACAAACAAGTTAATTCCAACAGTAAAAATATATGGCGATATCAAACAAACCTTAAATAATAAGCTACTCTGATTTCATTATACTTCGGTCTTCCCTTTTCCATTTGTAATGTTTAGAACCATAAGCATTTAATTTAGGTAAATCTAGGACTCTTTAACTGAGACCGAAAAAAGGCATGTATACAAAGCTTTTTTTTAAACAAAGCTTTGAGATGAAATATTTCTTAGTTCGTCTGAACTTTGTTTTTGCTTGTTTGTTATTTATTGTTTTCCCAAAGGATCCCCACAATGCATAGGAACGACGAGTGTCATTGATTCTTTATTTTCTATCTTGGGCCAGTTCTATGAAGTCACGCCGAAGCCAAAGTATCAAGCTTAAAGGTTTCTTCAACAGGAAATATAATGAATCGAACTTAAAAAATTCACGTTGTTATATTCATACTACTTGTGTTGGCGATTTTAAGGGGGAGATTATATGGGCTGGGCCGCCAGCTCAGAATAGTGTTAACAGGAACAGCTTCACCCAAGGCCTGAACAAGCAATTTACTTGGCCGACTTATCAAGAGGGTACGCAATGCTTTACACACAAGAAACCAGTTTTTAAGGCCCAGCGGTCACTAAACGCTACAGTTAATGTAAATTCAACATGTTTAACATCCTACGAATGACGTTTTCATTGAAGATGTAAGTACTGTATACTATATATTGAGTAAGGAGTGGTGGGGTAGGGCACCTGTTTACGATTCGTTCGATCAACCTTATTCTGGGATACGAATACGTAGAATCGCGTGTAATCTTCATTATTACTATTATTTTTTTTTTCATTATTCCTTTTAATGCTTCGGGGAGCATAAAGCGGAATAATTACAACAACAAGAATAAAGACGGACGTTGTCGGTTACGCAAAAAAAGCAACGAGAGACTGGCAAAGAAGGAAAAGGTTTGTATTAGCAGGACAACAGCTTTGCACATGCAGCACGCTTTTTAGTCTCGCTTACGCAAGCGGCGAGACTCATAAGATGTGCAAGCTTTTTTTTTTCCTTCGTATTCAGGACACAAAAGAGAGATCATTTTCCCAGCCGTTCCTAGCAGAGACCGTGGAAACTGGGAATAAGACCTGTTGTGTAACCGAAGCCATGCATGTTACGTTTTGCGAAGAAAGCTAATGAAAGATTAATGCGGTGTAGAGCTTTTCTGGAACGTGTCGGTGCACGAATTCTATTGCTTGAAAGCGTTGATTACTTTAGAACAAGTGGACACTTCAATGGTCGAAAAAAAAATTAATTAGCAAAACTTTGATGGTGAGGCTAACTGGTTTGGGTGTTCAACCTCGTCCCCAGGGCTTTTCCCTCAAAAAATGGATAGGGCGGGAAAAGGCCCTGGCATCGGCTGGTCACGTGTACAGCCTAAATATTCCTGAGAAGCTAATTTACATGCAACCCGCCGGTTTTGCGCTGACAGAAGGGAGTAACAATGGAAAATAATAACATCGCGAACTATGTCAATATTTTCGCGTGTGTGCGATGTAAAAGCTGTGGAATTACTGTACGAACAAGCGGAAAGTGATTTTGTCCAATGTCAAACAAAAATGCGGGCCTTTGCCTTTAGGATCTGCAGTAAATTTAAAAAAGTTGAACTTAATTGAAATAAAATTGTTCATCAAAATGCTTTATGGAGTCTGGTCTTCTCTACAACCCGACCATGAAACAAACAAATCTCCGCGCCGGATGCAAGTCAGCCCCCCAGCCAAGAACGATAACAGGTCGCCGATCTGAAACATTTGAAGACCTCTTATATATTTTCTCTTTCGAGGATAATACAAAGGATTTTCCTTATATTAAAGGGAAGATTGACTGATCGATTGGAATCAACTACAGCTCTGTCGATTTTAAATGGACCCAAGTCTTTCTTTGTTGCCAGTCATTTGATCGTAGAGGTCAATGAATTTTTTAAAATACGGGTCATACAGGATAAGTCTAAACCAACGCGAGTCGCTATAATATGGCTGAGAGTTAAGGTGAATGGAACTTAGGCGGTCACTCCATGAACACCGTATTTTTTTCCTGGCATCGGCTGGTCACGTGTCCCCTCGTACACCCTAAAGTCCCGGGTGTAATAAATTAGCGCTATGTAAAAAGCTAAAATTATGCGTAACCTCACAGCGCGCAATCTTGGGCCACCTTTTATATCTCTTGACGATTAACGAAAAGTTTTACAAGATTTCCTTTTTGTCTAAGATACTGGCTATGGTAATTTTTTGCTTTCCTCTGATTTCTATGAAGCGGACAGCGAGTAACATTTGTAAAACGTCTGTTTATAGAGCGGTATAAATGACAAACAAGCTATTGTACATGCATAAAAGTTGTACTGGGAAAGTCCGCTTTCTAGACTCTTCTGACTTTTTGTTTCATTTCTTGCGAAGTGGCCCGCCGTACACAGGGAAGAGCCTTGGGGATGAGGCTGTTGGTAAACTTTCACTGTATGCAAATGAGTCTTTTGGTGAGCATGCGGTGTAGTTTTGGCTGTTTGGCAATGATGTAATTTTCCCTGAATCGCGGCCCTTAATTTTCGTGTAATTTATACACGCGTATAGCCTGCCACCGCCAACGTATGTCCGGTCTTCGCTACCACGCGCACTGCGTGAAAATGAAAATATTCGGAGATGTTCGAGTTTAGAATACGTGATCATGACTCCCTAGAATCCTGAGGTATTCAAGGCGCACACCTCACGTGAAGTATGCTGAAATATTCAGCTCGAAAACACCCGAATATCCTTTGTTGAGTGTCATTCGTAGATTTCCCAAAACGCATACTTCAACAAATTTCATCGGCCAGTTATTGATGGTAACAATTTGTCCGTTATGATGAAAAAGATTGAAAACTTGAAAGATTGAAAACCGTTTTTAATATTACTTGATGTGGGTGGTTTCAAGAGTCTTGAAACGGTCCTTTATTTATTTCTGGGGAGAAATCATCTTCCTAGGGTTTTTAAAAGTTTCTTGAGTGTTCATATTAAATTGCAAGAAGTTTAACATGGCACACAGAGATCGGCAAATATGTTAAATATTTGCATTTAAAATTCTTTTAGATGCAGTGACATAAATTGATTTGAAGTAGTCCATGTTATAATTATATAACATCCATACAAAAAAAATGAAAACAAACGGAACACTCTGTCAACTCCCCGACCTACGTGGCGGCGCAACTCACCAATTTCGCAAAGCTGGAGCGCGAAATGCCCCTGGGTCAGCTGCATGGGAGGACTCGCACCGGCCCCAAAGCCTTGAACGCTGCCGCGCATTTGATGAGAACCTTTTTAATATCTTTGACTGACTTACTAGAAGAGGGTTGAAACTGTCTGTATATATATGACAAATTGGTATTCTCAACCATTGTGGTACTCCGAAAACGGAATTGCGCATGCCCAGATTGCTTTCCTTTACATAGTTTTTTTTGATAACGCAGCGTCACATGTGATTATCTAAAATTTCGTTACCTGTACTTGACGCTTTCGAGAGCTCATCAGCGTCGATTCTTTCGTTTCGTTTGGGATTCTTAGATAAGTCAAATTTATTGAAAAATATGTACCGGACTGCCCGGCAGTCGACCTGAAAAAAGTTCTAAGTGTCACAAAGCATGGTTTCGTTTTCTGAGCCCAGCGCAAGGCAAACGCTATACTTGAGATCTATTACACATTTCAGAAGCGCTTGACTTTTCTTAATCGACATATGATAGTTAAGATTAGCTTGTTTTTTCGATTTGTGAAATTTACTGAGAATATATAGGACCGCCGGTCATTCAGCGTTTTGAAAACATCGACTGGTTACCGGCCATATAGCCACAGCGTTCAAAATATGATCGAGTCATTTCATATCCATTCATCCATGTCATTTCCACTATTAGTATTGCATCCGATCAATCGCAAAGGTCAGGATTCGATTCGCGGTCAAGCCTTAATTTTTCAGGTACCTTTTACTAGGATTCTCAAGGATCTCTCTAAAGATATTTAAATATCCTAGAAGATCCTCAAGAGATTTTCACCAAGGTATGACAGAATGCGTTTCCGTCATGTTTCCGCGTGGGAAACGAACGATGTTTCCGCCACATTTCTTTTATCACATTTCCCTTCTTTCTTGTTTCCGTTACGTATTTTTTCCTTTTCTTTTGATTGCGAGATCAATATTTCAGAAATTTTGCCTTTGCGAACAATCAAGGTGAATAAAGGTAAATTTACTTTTGAGATAGCGCCATTACTCGGTTCTCTATTACTCGCGCGCGTTACATTACAGACTGTGAGGTGTGTGAGGTTGCCATTACTTTCGATTGTAAGTGATAAAAATCGCAGAGAATACTAACAGCTGCCGATATTTGCAAGATTGATCTCAATGAGTGCTTGCGTAAAAATAGAATGATCCACCCCTTTTTGTAGAGTGAGAAAATAAAAGAGAATGGGGCCTAGAAAAGAGCGGAATGCTTGTCAGCGGACTTTTCTTCTGCTCATGCTCATTGCCGTCGTTCTTTTTGGCGTCCATTTTGAAAGTGATCACAACGGCTTCAAATTGGTTTCAAACTTGCCAGCTTCTTTAGGCTCTAGGAGCGTGGAGTCTGTTTATTTGTGCTTCCCGATAGCACCACAAAACATCTAAGGGTTGTTATGTATATTTAACGACCTATCGAGGTTCAGTAATCGATCACTCCCTTGTAAGGCG